ATGTCATTGAGAACTTCCTGTGCAGCTAGATTTCTAATTATGTAACTCACCCAGCATTGCCAAGTTTGTTACGAAGGGAACAAAGTAGAGAAAGAGAAGATGGTTACGTTCTGGAAAAGTATTTGAAGTTTCTTCTGCACAAGATAATTATTTTAATTCAATTTATACCAAATTATTTTAAATTCAGTTTAAATCAGGGACACTTGAAACATATTCATGTTTGTGCTTTAAGAAGTCTAGCTTCTTGTGAAATGTGAGAGGAAGGGATTCAGTATCGATGCTAAAATTTTAAGAAAGCCGATTATAACAACAGACCCATTCCTCATTGGCCAACCTTGGGATCAATTCCATTTAAAAATCATCATGTTCTTAACGCTGGGAGAAATCTGAAGCGCCTTCTCCATGGAGTTTAGTGGCCAGAGGGTGTGCCAGACAATTAAAAAGGACTAAATTAGAGAGATGATTATAAGGGCTGTGAAGGAAGTAAAGTGGGTGCTATTTGCAGTATTTCAAGAAAATTATTTAACATGCTGACTTTATTTTTTGAGAGGGAGGAGGTAATCAAGTTTTTATTTATTTATTTACATATATTCTATTTCTTAAAAATTATTTTTATTGAAGTATAGTCAGTTTACAATGTTGTGTCAATTTCTGGTGTACAGCACAATACACAGTCATATAGGGACATACATAGATTTGTTTTCTTATTCTTTAACCATAAGTTACTAGAAGATACTGAATATCGTTCCCTGTGCTATACAGTATAAACTTGTTCATCTATTTTATTTATAGTAGTTAGTATCTGCAAGTCTCCAATGCCCAGTTTATCCCTTCCCACCCCTTTCCCCACTATTTTTAATGGAGGTACTGGGATTGAATCCAGGACCTTGTGCGTGCTAGGTACACACTAACCACAGAGCTATACTTCCCCCCATCATGCTGACTTTAACATTCTAGGTGTCTTCTCCGTGTGTGCACACAGGGTAGACCTCTGGAAAGGGGCATTGTAATTGTTTCTAGACTAATGGCTGTGCTGAGACAAGGTGAGATGGGGAAATTTTCCCATGCTAATGTAAAGGGCTGTTCGCTTGGTTTCCAACACTCTTTCTCAGAGTGAATTGCTCACCTACTCCAAAACCCTTCCTGCAGAAACTTTGGAGTCATCACTGATTCAGTGGTAACCCCTAATAATAGAGTGGTGAATTTTATAATCAGACATGGATGCTGAGAGTTCAGAGGACATGGCAACATTTTAGAATATCTAACTGTAAGGTGTATTCCCCTCCCGCCGCCCTAACTGGTGCTCGTTTTGTAGGTCAGCTACTTTTCTTGGAAGCAGTGTGGCCAAGGGGAGGAAGAATGTCTCTCAGATGTCAGCTTTGAGGAGGAGGAGTTCAGATGCCCAGAACTGGGCTAGCACTTCTGAGTCTCCCAGAAGGCCGGGCCCTGTGACTTCCTTGGGAAGCTCTGCACCACCTCACCCCCACCCCTGCACTGCTGGAGTCTGGGGCCACTCTGGTCTGCAGCCCAAATCCTGCCTCGTTGTGCGGGGGGCCAGGCTGAGGTTGGAGAGAGGGCCTGGCAGGAGGTAAGAGTCACCTTTGCTGGGGGAAGGATGGCTTGGACCCTGGGAAAAAGCCTGACTGTGGTTGCATGTCCACTCTGACCTAATAAAAGAGGTGTCACTACAGGGTGGGGCATGAGGCAGGAGAGGGGCGCACGTGTAGCCAAGCTGGCATTTCGCTTCGGTGTCTGTTCAGTGTGCCTGGCCCGTTTCCTACTAGCCTGTGTCACTGTGCCCGAATCGTCTTTGTGTTATGTTTCCCCAGTATTTTTGGTTGCTGCAGCTCTTTGCTTGGCAGCCACTCTGGCTTCTGGTCCAGGTATGGCCCCTGAGGTGGTCCCTGGGCTCTGTCCAGCAGACCCCCAACTCACAATCAGGGGACTTTAATTCTTTCACACAGGAGTCTGAGACTTCGCTTCTGTACCCGGACGTGGAGTCAAATGGAGACCTGCCTGCAGGGCCATATCAGGATATTGCTGTTCCACGTCAAGGTGAGAATGACAAGCTAACCCAGCATCAAAAGCTCCCAGAGGAGGTTCCAGTGCTAGGCTGGGATCAGAATCAGGCCCCAGCTCTGTCTCGACCTAAAGGTAATAAGATCAAAGCTGTAGATATAGATCTACCTTTGGATCTTCTGGGAAGCCCAGATCAGCCTCCAGAGCCCCCTGAGGAGGCTGAAATGTCCTCATCCCTGCAGGAGGCCCAGGCTCAGCGTCCAGAGCCCACTCAGGAGGTTGAGTCTCCACCCCAGCAAGAGGGTCCTGCTCAAAATCCACAGACCCCTGAGACGGTTGACTCTTTTCTGCCCCAGGTAGAGGCCCAGGCTCAGCGTCCAGAGGCCACTGGAGAGACAGAACCACCTCCACTTCAGCAGGGGGCTCTGTCTCAGCCTTCAGAGGGCCCTGAGGAAGTAGGCGCTGCCGTCCCTCTGGGGGAGGGAGGGCTTCAGGAGGTTTTAGCTGAACAATTAAGGCCTCATGAGGTAAATGGTCCCAATGAAAATGAAGCTCAGCAGTCAGCCCTGCACAGTGTCACTGTTAACCCTGTGGATCTAGCACTTACTATAACTCCAGAGGTCACTAATGTGGTTGAAACTTCTCCAGTTCCGCAGGAGGCCCCCTCTCAGCCTGCAGAGCATCCTGAGGAGTCGGAACCTCCTCCATTCGCTCAGGAGGCCCAGGCTCAGCCTGCAGAGCACCCTGAGTATGACTCTGCCCCACTCCAGCAAGAGGCCCCAGCGCAAGTTTCAGGGTTCCCTGGTGAGACTGTACCTCAGTTTCCAGCGAGTGAGGAGGCAGCAGCTCGACCTGGAAGTAAGTATCCAGCTCACTTCAACCCATCCAGTGTTACACTTAAACCGGTGGATTTGGAACTTACGGTCACTCCAGAGCCTGCTAAGGAAGGCGACTTTACCACAGCCCAGCAGGAGGCCCTGCCTCAGCCTCCAGAGAGCCCTGAGGAGGTGGAACCTTCTCCTGTCCAAGAGGAAGCTGCGTCTCAGCCTCCAGAGAGCCCCGAGGAGGTGCAACCTTCACTTGAGCAGGAGGCCCAGGCTCAGCCTGCAGAGCATCCTGAGGAGGCGGAACCTCCTCTATTCCCTCAGGAGGCCCAGGCTCAGCCTGCAGAGCATCCTGAGGAGGCGGAACCTCCTCCATTCCCTCAGGAGGCCCAGGCTCAGCCTGCAGAGCGCCCTGAGTATGACTCTGCCCCACTCCAGCAAGAGGCCCCAGCGCAAGTTCTGGGGTTCCCTGGTGAGAATGCACCTCAGTTTCCAGCGAGTGATGAGGCAGCAGCTCGACCTGGAAGTAAGTATCCAGCTCACTCCAACCTGTCAAGTGTTACACTTAAACCTGTGGACTTGGAACTTACGGTCACTCCAGAGCCTGCTAAGGAGGCTGAAAGTTCTCCAGAGCAGCAGGAGGGCTCTGCTCATTTTCCTGTTTCCCCCGAGCAGGCTGAATTTTCTCAAATCCAGTCTAAGCCTCTTTCTCCATCTCCGGAGCACCCTGGGAAGGTTGAATCTTTCCCAGGACAACAAGAGGCCACAGCTCACACTACAGGTCCCCCTGAGGGGGTGGGGCTTTCTTCGGTCCAGGAGGAAGCCCCGGCTCAACCTCCAGAGCCACCTAAGGAGGTTGAGATGACAGTTGGAACACCAGGACAGAATCAAGCTCAGCATTCCAGCTCGCCCAGTGTCACTGATAAACCTTTGGACCTGGGGCTTACCATGACTCCAGGGCCTCTTACAGAGGCTGGACACTCTGCAGCCCTGCAGCAGATGACATCTCATCCAACATACATTGAGGTGACACCTCCACAGGCAGAGCAGGTGCTGGCTCAGCATCCAGCCATGACTGAGTTCACAGTTCAACCTCTGGATCTGGAACTTTCACTAAGTCCAGAACCTGATACAGAGGCTCGACCTTCTCCAACCAAGCAGGAGACCCCAACTCAGCCTCCAGAGCCACCAAAGGAGGTTGTTATTGAATATCTACCCCATCAGGAGGTGACCATTCCAACTTCAAGTAAGGGTCAAGGTCAGCACACAACACCGTCCAGCGTCACACCTCATCACGTAGACCTGGAGCTAACCATGACTTCAGAACCTGCTGTGGAGGCTCAACATGCTACAGTCCTCCGGAAGACTACAGCTCCTCCTCCTGAGGTGGCACTTGCACACCCAGACCTGACTCGAGTCACAGTTCCACCTGTAGGTCAGGGAGATACCATAACTCGGCACCCAGGGTCACTGAAGACACCTGCTTCAGCTGAGCCTTCGGTGGTGCATTCTGTACCTCAGATAAGGAGCAACCGAAACAGAGCGCTCCCACAAGTGTGAACATCTGTGAGCTCTGCATCTGCAGTAATGAGAGCTTGTCCTGCACTGGTCTCAGCCCAGAGGAGAGGCTCCAGACCGTGCCCGTGCCGCAGCCCAGCAACTACAACGGCACCTTCACCATCCTGTAAGAACTGCTTTTCCTCGTTTGTTCTCT